AGAATGGAAAGACAAGCACCACATGTACTCACCATCAAATTGGTATTAACTGATCAACACATAAGTGCACATATAAGAATAACATCTGTTGGATGTTGGGCAACATCTGTTGGATGTTGGGCAGTGGGGAGGGCGAGGGGACGGGTATATGCATACACAAAGAGTGCAATGCACACCACCCAAAGAATGGACATATCTGAAACTCGGCCTTGGGGGGGAGGGGGGGCAAGGGCAACATATGTAACCTAAACATCTGTACCCCCATAATATGCTGAAATTAAAAAAAAAAAAATGTTAGTATATGCAGTGATGTGTGTGTGGCTTTGAGTGTGTATCTAAATAACACATATGAAGCAATCCGCAAAGCTTAACTACTCAAAACACCCAAATTGAATTTTAAAATTTTTTTATTTTTCCCCCATTGTAATCAATAGTGCCCAAAGTAATTTATCAAGAATAACTTACCAGTGGTGCATTATACAAGAGCTAGAAATAATTGCTGGGTTACCCAAAGTCACAAGGCTAGTATACATGAAGAACTGGGATTTGAACTCTGGTAGATCTCCAGAGTTTCCAGTGGACTCTCTTGCCTCCCATAATAAATCTTAAGTGCCCTCAACCCAGCTCATCTGACATATTATTGTTCCTTCAACATCTAAACCAGATTTCTCCCACAATAATTTATTTCTTGCAATTTCCTTAATTTTGTTATTGGTACCGTCATTCCCTTGGTCTTAAAAGGCTTGACACCTAGTCCTCTCTCTGCTATCTTTCTATACTCTTAGCAGGTTCTGTCAGGTTTTCCTTGCTGATATTGCTCACACCTATCCCTTCATATTCTGTACCTGTGGGAGAAGACAGTTGTGGTTGAGATGCTAGTGTGAAATGCCAGTGTGAGGCACAGAGGGAAATTTTGGTTTTTAGTCATGGATGGATGTATCTGGACTAGAGATACATGTTTGGGAGCCATCAATGCAGAGGTGATGGCTGAAGCTATGGGAGTGAATAATATCACTCAGGGGCAGTGCCTGGAGTCAGGAGAAGAGGTAAAGGAGAACACTCCAAGGACAGGGGAAGAATCTGAAAAATGGGACCAGAAACATTCAAGAGATGTACTTATTTAAATGTTTACTGAATCATTATGTTTTCCAAGAGATTGTCTGATCCTGAGTTTTTTTTTTTTTTTTTTTTGAGACAGAGTCTCACTGTGTTGCCCGGGCTAGAGTGCCGTGGCGTCATCTTAGCTCACAGCAACCTCAAACTCCTGGGCTCAAGCGATCCTGCTGCCTCAGCCTCCCAAGTAGCTGGGACTACAGGCATGCGCCACCATGCCCGGCTAGTTTTTTCTATATATTTTTAGTTGTCCAATTAATTTCTTTCTATTTTTAGTAGAGACGGGGTCTCGCTCTTGCTCAGGCTGGTTTCGAACTCCTGAGCTCAAACAATCTGCCCGCCTCGGCCTCCCAGAGAGCTAGGATTACAGGTGTGAGCCACCGTTCCCGGCCTGATCTTGAGATTTTTATTTCCTTTCCTCACATTAGAATTATATTCCAAGCCTTTATGAGACATAAACATCACCCATTGCCCCAGCAATCTTTAAACTGGCCTTTGAACTCTAACACCAGCTTGTTTTCCTCGACTCCTAACCCCACACTCTCAACAAACATACCAAACTGTCCTATAACTACACCTTGCTTCCTATATTTAATTGTTACTACATCAATATTATTAACAGTAACTTAGAAATTAATATGAAATTAGATTATTCAAATGAACCATGCCAATATAATTTTTTAAAAATCAGAAAAATTTGAATTCCTATGCTGCAATGATACACATATTTTTGCCTTCAAAAGCTTACCTCATGTCAATCACTTGACTAATGACAACACTGGGCTGAGATGCTTTGCCTTCAGCAATATCGTACAGAAAGAGTTTGAAGTCACAAACCACAGCCAGTGCTCTTTGCCATCCTTTCTTCACTCCAGCTGGCTTAGGAATCTTAGTATTATTTTTGACAAACAAACAAAAACAAATCAAATGAAAATGTCAAGCAGAGCCCCTTTAATTACATATGTAACTGCATGGTGAAATCTTAAAGATAATGTACACGTTGTAAGTTTGCAACTTTGGTTGGTGAAGTAGCAGATGGGACATATTAACATATAAGAAAACATGAGAACACACTCATCAAACACTGAATGACTTTTTATTCTGAAAGATTTTTAAGTGACACCATTTTAATTTTCACTAGTAATTTATTAAAATAACATTCATCATTTTCTTCCTAAATAGCATAAAAGAAAAATTTGGTAATAAGATGAAATTCAGCTTACACTGTAAATATTACCCAAGATAACAAGATTATGTTTTGATAATATCTCATAATTTATAACCATACACCACCTCTCTGGCAAGAACAGGTGCCAAAGACTCTTTTACAGAGATTTTAACAACTGTTCATCATGAGATAGGGACAATACAGAAAAGTTTGAGACATTTTAGAATTTATTTCTAAGTAACAAATACGTTTTTGCTTTCAAATCATTACTCTGAATGAAATAAAATTATTAGATCAATTTTATTCATTTAATTTTCTGTCAAGTAATATGTTCTTTTTTTTTTTTTGAGACAGAGTTTCACTCTGTTGCCCTGGCTAGAGTGAGTGCCGTGGCATTAGCCTAGCTCACAGCAGCCTCAAACTCCTGGACTCAAGCGATCCTCCTGCCTCAGCCTCCCGAGCAGCTGGGACTACAGGAATGAGCCACCATGCCCGGCTAATTTTTTCTATATATTTTTAGCTATCCAGATAATTTCTTTCTATTTTTTTTTAGTAGAGACGGGGTCTCACTCTTGCTCAGGCTGGTCTCGAACTCCTGAGCTCAAACAATCTGCCCGCCTCGGCCTCCCAGAGCGCTAGGATTATAGGCATGAGCCACCGCACCCGGCCAATATGTTCTTAAAGTGACTATATTTTATTTTAATTCATTAATAAACCTTAAACGATTAATCTAAACCCAACTTAATCATACTTACTCTGACATGACCTTCATATGCTGTTCCTATTCCTTTCTGTGGATCTATACCCAGGGGACCTTTTGTCTGTTCAGGAGGAACTGGACAAGCAGTTGGTGCTTTGTTTACACAAGTTATATGACATGAGAATCCACACACTTTCAGAGGGAAAAAAGAAATGTTTGATAAAAATGTCAACAAAAAGAAAATTCACTAAGAATTCACTGCGCGCAAGGTGTTGTTAGATGAATGCTTATCTTTGATTTTATTTTTGAATCCTCAACATTTTCTTTGGCTTGAAATCCATGTATCCAATGGACTAGTTAAAATAATGTAATATGGATCTTTCACTTTAGTTGTGAGAACTAACCAAACGTAGAGTGCATTGCCTTAAAATGCTATTAATTTCCCCCTTACTCAAAGTGGTCAAATACAGGCTAGGTACAAGTATATATAAAGGGAACAAATGCATCTGATGGGGACTGACATTCCCTCTAAAGTCCCTCCCAACCCTAAGAGCAGAAGAGACTGGAAATGGAAACTAGTATTAGAATCTGAATTACCAAGTATCTTCTTGTCTTTTTCATGAGATAAATGAGCAAATCACATATACGGTGATATTGTAGTAGCAAGTCTCGCTTGATTTTAAAAAGAGTATTTCTAATACATTCACAAATTAATAATATATACCACTTATAATTTAAATCATTTCCATTTCAGAGGTCCCAGGAAAAATAAAGAGGTTCCCAAACAAATATACTTTGTTTTCTGTTCAAATGACTCTGATACTTTCTCCCTTGCTTCGCAGAATGTGAGCTCCATGTGGGCAGGTCTTGGTCTTTCCCCCAATCTGCTACCGTATACCCAGTGCCCAGAAGCACAGAGGGGCATTCCATAAACACGCAGTGAACAGCAAAGAATGGGTAGGGAAAAAGCTCTGCTATTAATACTAGGAATAAAACATCTTTGAGGCACAGTGGCAGACATTTAATATTTCTTAAAAGGTACGAAGTTGCCTACTTTTTAATAGTAATTTTTCTAATAAATTAAACAAGGTTAAAATTAAATTAATAGATTCAAGGATAACTTTCATGTCTTTCACCATACAGTTTAATGGATTTTGGGGACCACAAATGCACCTGACTAATGAAACAAAGATGAACACAACATTTAAATGTATCTCCCGTAAAAACTGTTTCTAGGGAATGTCTATCTGTCTAGTTTCTCTAACATTCAACAGACAAGGTGCTTAGTTTATTGTTTCTATTCTTGTTATGCAAATAAAAGCAAATGATTAAGTAAAATAAACAAGTAAACATTTATATGTCTTTTAAAGAGAATAAAGTTATTTGATTACAATTTAGATAGTAAATGCCAGGACTCCACAGTCACACTTCCTTTCCATTTTGTTCTTACCTTCACATGAACAGCCCTGTCTTATCAAACCCACCATCAATGAGGTACACTGATGACATTTCGTAGGAGTAGTAAAAGATTTTACGAAAAACTGGTGAGTCTTGCGCTGCAAAACAAATTGATAAATCATACATGTTGATTATTCAAAGGATTTCCGTGATGTGAGCCCCTACATCACACACCATCTTCTAGAATGTTTTTTAAATAGAAGTGGAATGAATTCTTTCTATTTCTCATCACATCTTCTTCTAGTTTATATACTCTTTAAATATTTTTAGGCAATACTGAGCTGGAATAAACTAAAACAATATAAGAAGTTAAATGATAATCAATTGCTCTTAAATGCTATTTGAAAAGTATATAATATAAACTAGCTTTTTTCTGGCTCACAAATCTTGACTTCAGGATTTTTATAAATTCTCCAAATTATCCTCCAGCAAAGAGTTAAGTGAAATCTTGTAGATAAATGCCTATATAAATATAGAATTTTAATATGCTTTATATCTTCTTAGGAAGAACAAAAAGTAACTGAAAATTCTTATTTCTACTCTAAACAATGCATTTCATTTTCTGGGACCAAGAACAAATAATGTATTCCACAAATCTCTTTTCTTCCATGGAAGGAGACAGTATTATACTTGAGCAGATAAAAATATCATACAAATATATTATTCCAGAGACAGATGGCATACTGAAATTTCTTACTGAAAACTCAGTAGCTAAAGTTCTCTAAATCTTGTCTGATTTATATGATGGTAAGCCAATGTAGACCTTAACTCTTCAGAATACTTTCTTCTTCAAATTAACTCTTCCGCATGTTTTAACAATAAAGGAATTAGAATAAATAATCATTCCTTCATTCTGCTGTGTGAACTTAGGAACAAATTACTTAACTCCTATCTCTCACTTTTCTCAGGTATAAAATAGGATCAATAATAGTATCTACTTCAAGGGGTGGTTAAATAAGTATTAATATAAACAAAGCCTTTCAAATAGTGCCCAGCACATAGTAAGCACTCAAAAAATATTTTCTTTTTGCTTTTTCTTAGACAGGGTTCTCACTCTGTTGCCTGGGCTAGAATGCAGTGGTGTCACTGTAGCTCACTGCAACCTCGAACTCCTGGGCTCTGGTGATCCTCCCATCTCAGCCTCCTGAGTAACTGGGACCACAGGCGTGTGCTACCACACTTGGCTAATTTTTCTATTTTTTGTAGAGATGAGGTCTGGCTATATTGCTCAGGACGGTCTCAAACTTCTGGGCTCAAGCAATCCTGCTACCTTGGCCACCCAAACTGCTAGGATTACAGGTGTGAGACACTGCACCTGGCCCTATTTCTGTGCCTGGCCCTATTTCTTTACAAAAATGAATTTGGTTAATTATTTGTCTTTTATATGTGTGATTGATTTAAACTAGTAAGAACTCTATTCCATATTCCAATAAAATGTGAATACTGATTCAAATAGTTATGAAGTAGTATTTATTTCAGTTGAGACTAATATATTAACAAAAAACTAAAGGTAATATTTGAAGTTTTAAAATAAATTCTGTTCTCCTCAATTGGATATGTGATTTATACACCACAAAAGAAGTTAAAAAAAATCAAGAGGAGAAAAGCAGATTATCTTTTTACACAGAATGATCTGACTACCAGCATTAGTGAGCGAATGGGGTAAGACCCTCAAATTTAGAGTAGTCATTAGCTCTGGGGTCCAACCTCAAACCATTCTACTCTATTATAGAAGTTCCTCAGGATCTCTGTTCAGTTTCAAAGAAGCACTGGAATTTGACTCCAAATAGAACAGTATCTTATTATTAACTCTGTAATTGCTCCTATAGCTCCTGCGTACCAACCAAGATGCAAACATTGTACCAGGATTTTACATATATCATCTCATTTAATGGAAACAATACCCTTGGAGAGACAGATATTATTTCCTCATATAGATGAAGGAACTTGTTAAAATCACATAAAATTTTCTCTTTCTCCTGTATACTACTTTTAATTTTGGCTCTTTGAGAAACTAATAAGTAAATTTTCTAGTACTAACTTTTTCAATTGTTCAACATACATTAATGCAAAAGACGCAAAGTTAGTTAACTGGCTCTAGAGGCTTGTACTACATTGAAAGAAGAATTAATCAACTGCTAAAAGTAAGTAACTTCATACTTTTTTTCTTCTCATAAAGGATAACAAGACATATCTGAAATAGCAGCAATAAAACCACTGTGGCTATGACAAATTTAATAGTAATTCTTCACAATACTCAATAAATTGCTTAAAAAACATATATTATATAATTTTTCCCCCAGACAGCTACTCAGAATATCACAACTCTGAGTATGATAGTAGACCAAAAAAAAAAAAGTTTGGAAGAGCATTAACTTTTGGTGACCAACCATCCAACAGGGAGGTGCTGGTTAAATTATAGGAATAAGCCTATATTGCTATTTTTTCATTGGAGACGTTGTCTGTTCACTTATTGCTAGGGTAGAGAACGGGCACGTTTATACTCACTCACTCCCTTCCCTTCATTTTCCTAATATTGTCATAGAGCAGTTTGAGGTAAAAATTTATATATAATGCTTAAGTTATTATGACCTTGGAATTATTATTCACTAATAAGTCAAGAGGTACCCTATAGTTATATTTTTTTATAAAACTTTTTATTTTTCTAAAATTAACAGCACCCCTCCTCTTACTTTTCTATGTCTCTATCATTAAATGTTACCAGACTCCCCAAAAAACCATAAAATCCCCTTGATTCTATTTACCACGTGGTCAAACACATCAGGAAGGAAACCCTTCAGAACCCCCTACCCTGTTCTATCAACTTGAGGCACGCTGTTGATGCCCTCTGTTTTCCTGCTTCAGTTTTGGCTGGCTATTTTCTAGGCGTACTGCACAGTCTTCCTCTTAACCATCCTGTGTGAGATTCCTTCTATGCATCTCACGTCTTGCTCTTTCTTGGTCTCCTCCCTTGTTTTGGTAGAACTAATTTTTTCATAGTTTCCTTAGATACTAGTACATTTTTTGAGAGCTTGAATTTCTGAAAACACTGAATTTTTCCCTCAACCTTGACTGAACATTTGACAGGGAATCAAAAAATCTAGCTTGAAACCATTTTACCTTATAACTGTTCTTTTCATTTTGCTGTTCATGAGTATGCCATTTTGATTCCTGAACATTTGGATGTGATCTCTTTCATCTCCTTGGTGGCCTAAAAAAGGTCTCTCTATACTTGGTATCTTGAAAAATTGCACGACATAATTGGGGATGGGTATTTGTCACCCACTGTGCTAGGCACTGCAGGGTCTTTTCAATCTGGAAGCATGGCCTTCAGTTAAGGGAATATGTATTGTTTATTTGACAATTTCCTTCCTTTTCTTTTTTCTGTTTTCCTTGTTAGGAACTTCTGTTCGTTGTATATTGATTTCTCATTTCTAATTTCTATCTGACCTTATGTAATATTTCCTAAGAGATTTTCTCAAATTTATCTCCCAACTCATTTACTGAATTTTAAACATGTTTATCATATTTTTAATTTTGAAAAGACTTCTTCTGTGATTATTCCTTTTTGTTTCCTTTTCTTTTATGCATCATCTCTTTTTTCTTCAATGAAAACAGGAAACGTTTTCCTGTTTGTTTTGATCTTTTTCTTTTGTTAGAGGATTTCTTACAATGTCTGCTGATTCTTGGGAATCTGAATATTTTTAAGAGTGAGGCAGTAAAAAAGTTGAAGGGTTTGTGTGTATGCGTGTGTCTTTAAATGTGCGAGCGAATGTATGATGTGCTTGTAAAAAAGGATGTAGCCATTTCAATAGGGACCCCACATGCCATTATCTACAGGCCTCTCCTGGGCCATTGAGTTTCTTCAGAGAATCCACTGATATCCTCCAAGGAGAGTGGGGAGGAGGGGGCTATACTCCCAAGTGCCAGTATTTTGGAAGCTGAACAAGGCAAAAGCGTTTGGGGTCTCACCATTTGGTTTGTAGACTTCTGCCAAATCTCACTATTTGTGGCTTAAAACTTCTCTCTCTTAACCAACCACCGAGCCTGGTATCCTTGAATGTGTGGTCTCTTTGGTTTAATTACTCCACAAAAAAATTAACACATTGCTGAGTTGGGTAGTTGTCTAGTTTTGACAGCTGGTCTACTAACACTCTATGCATACTCTGTGGCCTATATTTTTGGAGAATGCTTTATTATCCTAAAAATCTTAAATCCTTACAAATTGTTGACTCATAACTTTCCTTGGCTATCTTAAATATGTTATTCCATTGATTTTTAGTATAGTGCTATCAAAAAAATCTAATGACAATCTCATTTTCTTTCCCCCTTAAGTGACTTATACCCTTTGCCTAAATGCCCAATATTTTCCCTTTTATTTATAAACCAGTAGTTTACTAGAATATGATTCCTTGAGGCTAAGTTAATTTTCACAGCTATCCTGTATGCCCTTGTAATTTGAGTTTAAAGTCTTATTTTGGGGAAATTTCCTTGAATATAGCTTTTAGTATTTTCCACTGCATTTTCTTTTTCAGGGCCTCCTATTATACAAATGTTAGCTCTTCTTTGCTATCTTTTCTAGCCATCCCTTTTTCTCAAATCCTTAGAGATCATTTTTACCTCTTTCCTCATTTTTTGATTAAAAACAAAATCTTCCTTTCCATCTTCTATTTGTCACTGTTATTCTCTGTTGAGTTTATTTCCTCTTCAATTCCTTATAGATTAGTCTATATTTCTGAAATTGTATATAATTTCTAATTCTTTCTCCTGAGTTCTTTCATTTCTCTTTTCAAATCATCTTTTTTTTTTTTTTGAGACAAGAGTCTCACTTTGTTGCCCAGGCTAGAGTGCCATGGCGTCAGCTTAGCTCACAGCAACCTCAAACTCCTGGGCTCAAGCCATCCTCCTGCCTCAGCCTCCCTCAAATCATCTTTTCTCCAACATCCCCATGTCTGAGGTTTTCTATTTCTAATTTTTGCTATATCACAGTTTCTATCATTTTCTTAATTTTTCTTGAAATATTCATTGTAGTTTCACTGGTTTTGTAGACATGTCTTTCTCACACACTTTCATTTTTTGTTATGATATTTTGCTTCTT